TGTGTATGTATAGAGAGAGAGTATAAAGTGCAATATCAGTCAAAATTTCAACATACTTGTCTGAATTTCTTTCTGTCTGAAGATCTTTCAATCAAACATTTTTTCAAAATGTTGAAATTAGTTTTGTAGACAAATATAAAATGCCTGTATATCCATATATAGGCATTTTGTATTTGTTTACAAAACTAATGTCTTTGCAAAACTGTTATTCTTTCCAAAAACAAAACAAACCCGTTTTTAATGGATGGACTTGATAATGAAGAAAAAACAGCCAAGAGTACAGCATACACGTGAACTTCAACAGTGTTTAAAAAGCATCCCACTGGATGCACCTCATGAAGTTAGTTAAGAGAAAGAAGAGTGAGCAGAGACCAAATATAAGACAGATTTGACTTGACCTGTACACAATTCCTGTACCTTTGCGTTATTTCATTGCTTTGATGACTATTTTAAATTGTGAAATGTTTTAATAATAAAGAATAAGCATGTGTGTACAAACACTCGACTTGTACTTACTATAATTTCAAGCATATCCATACAAATGTTATGTGACAGACAAGTGAAACACTAAAGCCCACTCTCACATGAACCGTATTAATGTACTAAATAAATAACGGGGTATTAACACTGTGCCAGTATGAAATATTTGTAGGACATTCAGACAGACAGGACAATGTTTACCTAAACTCTTTACGGGAGCTGACAGCAGGAACACAAATCTCAAATACAGCTTCAAACACACTGCCGTGTTCGTTTTGTTTTTGGTGAGGAAAGTAGAAACCTACCTCTGGGTTAAACGTATTTCTTGTGTGAATGCTGTAAAGTTCAGAAATAGCTGAAAGTCTATACAGCGATGTGGAACAAAACAACCATAACTTCGACCAAACCTCGCGCCTCCTGCATGATCTGCGCCGATCTACGCAGCTTCCGGCCACGCCATACTAAGATCGCGTGCGCCACCGCCTGGCGAAACACACACATGCTTCACATTTTCCCTTTTATTTAGTAAGTAAGCAAGTAAATAAATAAATAAAAGTAGATAGATGAAATAGATTACATAGATTATTAAAGATAATTAAAGATTATTAAAGATGAAAAAAAAATTTTAATTGTTTTTAAATTTAATTTAAATGTGTTCATTTGATTAAATTGGTTGATTTGTAGGCTATAACACTGAACACTGATGTCCCAGTAAATGAATAAATTGCAGTTTCAGTTCTCTTAACATATTTATTTATTCAGTCCAGTTCTGAATGTCACTTTGACTGTGACGGGATCCTTTAAAGTATGATTTCTAAAAGTATGATTTGATTTTTGCCTTGATTCAGTCTTATTCTACAGACCTTAATATAGCACTTTTATTTAGCTGTAAAGTTCAGAAATAGCTGAAAGTCTATACAGCGATGTGGAACAAAACAACCATAACTTCGACCAAACCTCGCGCCTCCTGCATGATCTGCGCCGATCTACGCAGCTTCCGGCCACGCCATACTAAGATCGCGTGCGCCACCGCCTGGCGAAACACACACATGCTTCACATTTTCCCTTTTATTTAGTAAGTAAGCAAGTAAATAAATAAATAAAAGTAGATAGATGAAATAGATTACATAGATTATTAAAGATAATTAAAGATTATTAAAGATGAAAAAAAAATTTTAATTGTTTTTAAATTTAATTTAAATGTGTTCATTTGATTAAATTGGTTGATTTGTAGGCTATAACACTGAACACTGATGTCCCAGTAAATGAATAAATTGCAGTTTCAGTTCTCTTAACATATTTATTTATTCAGTCCAGTTCTGAATGTCACTTTGACTGTGACGGGATCCTTTAAAGTATGATTTCTAAAAGTATGATTTGATTTTTGCCTTGATTCAGTCTTATTCTACAGACCTTAATATAGCACTTTTATTTAAAAAAAAAAAGAGACTTTATCAGACTTTATGATAGCGTTGTTCATAAAGGGTTCTCCATGTTCTCTATTTACATTTCTGCCACATAAGAAAAGAAAGAACAGTTTGTTGCTAAATCATAATTTTGACATCATAATTAAGCCTAATTGTATTAATCATAATATACTTTTGAGATAAAAAGAGATAAGTCATATTTACCACGTAAATTATTAAAAATATGAAAGTATGAAATAACTATGTCATAAAAGCCATATTTATGAGATGAAACGTAGAAAGTATTACATAAAAAGTCAAAATTAAGGAAAAAGTCATATCTATTGATATATGGCATACAAATCTAAATTATCACATACACTGTAAAAAAAAAGCAACTACATATTTTCCAGTTTATGAAACCTTTTGAGTTTTAAAAATAAAAAAATTATATTTTCTTGAAACTAAAAACCCATGCCAGATCAACAGAATTGCCCCAAATGTTGTCCCAATGAGTCAAAAACAGTTGTCTAAACAAAGAATTTCATATTCCTGAAATGTTAAGACTGTGAGGTAGCATTAATAAATTATATAGTTAGGCTACTGTTATAGGATTATTATTATTATTTATTTATTTATTGCTGTTTGATGACTTCATTTAAACCTTGTTGTTGATTTCTCCATTATTGTTAGTTATTTGTTGTGTTGTGATGTAAAGAGCTCATCATTTTACATTTGTTGATTGTCACCGTTCTTGAGGTTAGTGCATCAAGTGTTGAGTTCAGCAATGTAGAACTATATCTTACATCTCTTTGCTTGGTAAAGATGATTGTTATTCTCTTTACAAACATATAGCATGGTTCACTTAACATATTAAGTGTTTTATATACTATATACATATAATTATCATATCAGAAATTAATTTATTGTGTTAATAAAAGAAAGTTTACTGAACAAGAAATCTTTTGTTGTCTTCTTCATGAATATATTGGCTGAACGAGGCATTTTGCATTTAGTGTACTCAAAATGACAAAACACATAGTTTTACTTAGCACAGTTAGTTTTAAAACAATAATTGAGAGAACTTAAGTTGCCTTGAAATTTTAAGTTTTCTCAACAATTATTTTTTTTACAGTGGTAAGTCATAATTTTGACATAAAAGTCGAATTTATAACATAAAAACTCTGATCTCGAAATTTCGACTTTTTATGTCAGAATTATTAGGCTATTTATTTTAAACATGATTTTTTTTCTTATATAATTTATATAAATTTTGCTCTGAAAATCATGACAATTGTTCCAATATAGACAAAACTCAAAGTGCTGTGTTGCTATTTCTTTGTCTTTCGTGCTTGTTGAAGTCGCCCATATGTAGCATAAAACTACAGTAACCACAAGTCTGTGCGGCGTGCGTGCGTGCGTTGACTCCCAGCGGTACGTCACATCATGAGTGTGTTGGGATAAAGAGGCTTCAACTGAGTAAAGTTGATGTTGACTCATTGGATTTCTGTAAATGGACATGATGAAACTCATCCAATTAAAAAAGTATTGGGGAAATGTTGGGAACATGAGTCAGACAAGTTTAGAAGGATATTTATATTGGATTTATAATAATAAAAACCAACACAAACACTGTAGGCAATGTTTATATAGCACATTTCATACACAATGGTAATTCAAAGTGCTTTACATAAAGGACAAGAAAACAATAATAAAAAAATAATCACAACAATAAAACAAGGAATTTAAAAGCTTTGAAAATGATTTAAAAATTGATTTTAAAACAGTTAAGAACAGAAAATGATTATACAGTACAGACAGGTTTAGAAGTTTTGGAAAGTTGGCAGAAGAAGAAGCCCAGTCATGTGGAATAATACATGTAGAAATGAGCCCTGCAGTAGTAGTGTCACCCATTTCACCTTGGTTATTCCCTTTACCATTAGTAGACTTTAATTTGCAAGAAATTATTAATGACAAAAATAGAGTAATAGCAAAAGATGTCATGGTTAAACTGTATCTAGAACAGAATTACAACTCCGCAATCTCAATTTTCACTGATGGTTCCAAAGATCACGAGACAGGGCGAGCATCAGCAGCTGTATTTGTCCCAACTTATCAAATCTAGATTGGTAAAAGAGTTTCTGATCAAGTAGGAGTTTACACTACAGAGATGGTAGCAATATTATTAGCTATCAGGTGGATGGAGGATACCCGGCCAATGAATGCGGTGATATGTTCAGATTCATTCTCTGCATTATCAAGTCTTATGATATTCCGATTCTGAAATATGTGCAATTAAATCTGTTTGGTAGTTTAAACACTTTTATGTCGACCGTGTTAGTTGATTTATACCGGGTGATGGGCGCCGCCATGTTAGTTCGCGCTGAATCCGAGCTGTGGGATTTACAACACGCAAATTCATCCTCTCCTCCCGAAACACATTAAAGTAGGTCTCCGGTGAACTGGGAGAAGAGCAGAGTAAACTTTATAGTTACCTACACAATCTGTATATGATATCAATAAAAACATGTCGTCAGATTATATTTGTAAGGATCATTATTGCCGTTTCCATAGACATCAGCGTGTATTTTACAAACTGTAAATGTATGGTTTTGCTAGTAATTATGTGTATTTAAATGTCTGAAACCTAAAATCAGCATTATATGGTTGAAAACACTGAATATTTGTGATAATATGACAAGCGCTCAGCGCGTCCAATCTGACTCCGCGCCAGCCAAAGCCCGAAAGCGGATTTAAATTCAGCAGTTGATGACGTATGGCACTGAAAGTTCTGATCACACCAGTGTGATCGTACGCGTTAAAGGGTTAAAAAAGCATCATATGACTCCTTTAAAACTTTGTTGAATAATGGCTTGAATCATTATAAAAAATATAATGCCTTAATGACATTCTTAAAAAAAGTAGATCTGTTTAACAGGATTTAGAAGGGTATCTATTATTATTATTATGATATAGTTATTATTATTATTATTTTTTTTAAGTTCTTCCTATTCCATCAACGGTCCACACTCCAGCCCAGTAGGTGGCGGGAATGCACCTATCATTTGTTTGCCAACCGCCATAAAACGCCAAAAGAAGAAGAAGAAGAAGAGGCTTCAACTGGGGATTTAAACTGATGTCTACTGTTTAGACGACTACACAGGACGCGAGGAATTAAATGCACAGTCATATAGTCGACCTCTATTCTTAGACTCTGTACTAAGCCAGCTGTGTTTTTCATCTCTGCTGTTCATAGACAATCATGGGAACAGAGGAAGCTAACGTAGACTGTTAGCTGCGAGAATTCACAAGCCAAATCCTTCAAGAGTCACACCCTAATATTCACTGTCCTCGCACCGGCCACGCGACTGCGGGTACAGATGTGCGGCCCTGCTTTTCGGTCTGGATCACAGCGCGACTGTTTCCTACAAAGGTCTCTGTGCAAAAACAACTAGAGGAAGCATCAAGAAAGTCATGTATGTCCGGTTTCAGTCTACTTTGTTGGGAGACAGATAACGTTAGTCGGCTAGCTAGTGTGTGATCATCATCACTCCTCTGGGCTATGAGTTCACCGATGTACACGTTTGTTTTGAGAGATGACAACAGCACTGTGTATGCCGAGGTCGCCAAGATCCTCATCTCTACTGGAAAATGGAAACGACTGAAGAAGGACAATCCTCGGTTCAATTTAATGTTGGGAGAGAGAAATCGGCTGCCTTTTGGACGGCTGGGTAAAGGATTTCAAGAGCTGCATATTAAACATTCATTGCCATCTCGTAATAATGATATGTTTTATAATCCCATGCTGTTTACATGTTGTAGTGTGCATTGAAAGTTAGGAGTTTCAGCAAGTTGTTATAATGCATCTAACCTATGCACATTTTCAGTACACCATGCTTCTTTTTTTTTTTGAGACTATGGACAGTACAAGCTGTTGAACTTAATGATAATGAATGATGAAACGGTGCATGTGTGCAGCAATGCAATAATTATCAATTATTAATAATTGAGCACTGAAAACAGGACACAGCAATGCTGATCACAAAGATTCAGCTCTATAATGCATTCCTATGGATCTGTAACTGTGTATCTGTGTAGTAATATGTAATTAGGTTGACATTAACTTTTTCAACATGAAAATGTTAAGCTTTAATATCAGTATTTCATTAGATTTTCTATAAGTTTAAGAGAATGTGTACCTTAAGTATATACATACATACACATGAGTATCACTATCGGCCCAAATGTTGAAATAATACAAGCTTAAACATTAAGAGAAATGTTTTTTTTAAATGTTTTTGATAGTCTCTTTTGCTCACCAAGGCTGCATTGATTTGGTCAAAAATACAGTAAAGCGGTAATATTGTGAAATGTTATTACAGTTTATTATAAAAAAATTACTCTATTTTAATATATTTTGTCAAAGCTGAATTTTCAGCATCATTACTCCAGTCTTCAGTGTCACATGATCCTTCAGAAATAATTCTAATATGCTGATTTACTGCTCAAGAAATATTTCTTACTGTTATCTTATTATTTTATTGTAATCGTTGAAATTTAAGTACTTTTAGCTGCAGGACGCTGTGGTCACAGTTCAATATTTCGATATTTCAATGTCATATACCCCGCTGTGTCCTCTACAGGTCATGAACCGGGATTGATGCAGCTGGTGAATTATTACAGAGGAGCCGATAAACTGTGTCGCAAAGCATCACTGGTCAAGTATGTGGTTTATTTAAACATATCAGATGGATGAAGTTCACGTTCAGATTTACTGTATAACCACATCTTAGGATCTTAGATGTGTGATCTTAGGAACGATACTGTTAAGTTAATGCTTGCTTAAGTGAATAATGTCTTCAAATCACACTCATTTCCTTTTTGCCATGTCGTTGAGTTAGAAACTCTGCAGTTCTTAAGTTGTGAATCATATTTAAATAAGCATGTTGGATGTTCAGGATTATCAAGACCAGTCCAGAGTTAAAGGACTCGTGTAACTGGTTCCCTGAGTCTTACATCATATACCCAACCAACCTCAACACCCCAGTGGCCCCAGCCACCAATGGCATCAGCCACATGAAGAGCAACCCAAAGACAGATGAGCGGGAGGTCTTCTTGGCTTCTTATAACTCCAGAAAGGAAAGCGGAGAGGGAACGGTGTGGATCGCCAAATCATCAGCAGGTGCAAAAGGTACCAATCTCCATCTGTCCAAAATGGCAAGTTAAAAGAAGTGCAATCTTGCTGCATGATTTAATAGCATGAGATTGTTCCTCACATTGTTCAGGGGCAGGCATATTGATATCTCATGATGCAAATGAGTCGCTGGAGTTCATCGATAATCAAGGCCAAGTGCATGTCATTCAGAAGTATCTGGAAAAACCTCTGCTATTGGAGCCGGGACATCGCAAATTTGATATAAGGTAAGATGAAACGCATAATCCTTTGTGCAGAATGTTTTTGATTTGATTACAGAATAGCATAGAATTGCGATGTCCAATCCTAATGAAGTCAAAGTGCTTCTAAAGCCAATGGATATTCTCTCTGGCTGTCTTGTCTGTAGGAGTTGGGTGCTTGTAGACCATCAGTATAATATCTACTTGTACCGTGAGGGTGTGTTGAGGACGTCTTCTGAGCCCTACAACAGCTCAGATCTGCAGAACATGACCAGTCACCTGACCAATCACTGCATCCAGAAGGAGCATTCGCAGAACTACGGCCGCTATGAGGAGGGCAACGAGATGTTCTTTGATGAGTTCAGACAGGACCTGTTGACCACACACAATGTTGCCATGGAAACATCTATTTTACCTCAGATCAAGCATATCATCAGGTGCTCCTTCACTGAAAAAGTTTTTTCAAATCTGATTGCATGTGTGCCTGCAAATGATTTAAACAAGTAGAAAATGCCATAACTATTTTTGTGTTAGAGATGTACAGTGGGTCCAAAAGTTTGAGAATTTACTTTTTTACAGTTGAATTTTTCAAAAGTAAATGTTTTTTCTCCTCTCAAATTCCCACAAATCAGTATTTTAGTATTACATTGTATATTGTTATAGTATTTATTAATAATTTGAATTGGCTTTTATTTTTATATTTTCTGTTTTCATTTACATGAGGGGTGTACTCACGTCTGTGAGATACTGTATATATATATATATATACTGTATATACACTACCGTTCAAAAGGTTGGGATCAAAACGATTTTTTGTTTTTTACATGAGTTTCTTATGCTCATCAAAGCTGCATTTATTTGGTCAAAAATACAGGAAAAAAAATAATATTGTGAAATATTATTACGATGTAAAATACAATTTTTCTATTTTAATATATATTAAAATCTAATTTATTCCTGTGATGCAAAGCTGAATTTCCATCAGCATCAACCGTTCAAAAGTTTGGGGTCAGTACATTTTTATTCTTTCTTTTTCTGAAAGAAATTAACATTTTTATTCAGCAAAGATGTGTTAAATTGATAAGAAGTGATAGCAAAGATTTATATTGTTAGAAAAGTTGTTAGAAAATGCTGTTCTTTTTAACTTTTTATTAATCAAAGAATCCTGAAAAAAGTATTGCAGTTTCCAAAAAAATTTTGGCAGCACAACTGTTGCCAACATTGATAATTCTAAAAATAAATCAGCCTTATGCTCATCAAGGCTGCATGTATTTGATCAAAAATACAGAAAAAAAAAACAGTAATCTTGCAAAATGTTATTATTATTACAATATAAAATAATGGTTTCTATTTTATAATATCCTTTCAAATATAATTTATTTCTGTGGTGCAAAGCTGAATTTCCATCAGCCATTACTCCAGTCTAAAGTGTCACATGATTTCTATTTTAAATAAGTGCTCTTCTTTTTAACTTTTTATTCATCAAAGAATCCTGAAAAAAGTATTGCAGTTTCCAAAAAAATATTTGGCAGCACAACATTGATAATTCTAATAATAAATCAGCATATTAGAATGGTTTCTTAAGGATCATGTGACACTTTAGACTGGAGTAATTGCTGATGGAAATTCAGCTTTGCATCACAGAAATAAATTATATTTTAAAGTATATTAAAATAGAAACCATTATTTTATATTGTAATAAAATTTTGCACGATTACTGTTTTGTTCTGTATTTTTGATCAAAATAAATGCAGCCTTGATGAGCATAAGAGACTACTTTAAAAAACATAACAAATCTTACTGATCCCAAACTTTTGAACGGTAGTGTGTGTGTGTATGTATATACATATATATATATATATATGTATGTTTCATCTGTATTTCAATTAACAAAAACTATTTTAATAGTTTACTACACTGTTTCTAATTAAATTACAGCTTACATATTTAAGTGAACATTTTTGAGAATAAAACAAAAAGCTGACATGAAATTCACAAGTTTGAAAATGTGTCTGATTTCTGTACAAAGAGTTCATGATCTAGAAGTAGTGCAGAATCTTGAATATTTCTAACTAATTTTATGTCATCGGTTCTTGAATAAATCCTATGACCTTGGTGTTTTTAGTGCCACACTCTACTGTTTGAGCTACAGGAAATCTACAGAGTTTTAACATTTCTAATGCAAAATAAAGCATTTTTATACTGACAATGACACCAACAGGCTCTCAGTGACTTTCAGTAACCAAATGAACAAATACATTTTGGACAATTCCTTTAGATCAGAGATCAATTATAAAAAAAAATTCTACAAGTCTGAGCTCACTGATCCGTTACAAAAATGCTTCATTTGACGATGTCTAACTACCTGTAGTGTTCATCTGAAATCCTGCATTACTTGCATATTATTGTGATGTTTTCATCAGCTGTTTGGACTCTCATTCTGACGGCACCCATTCACTGCAGAGGATCCACTGGTGAGCAAGTGATGTAATGCTACAGTTCCCCAAATCTGTTCTGATGAAGAAACTCATCTATATCTTGGACGGCCTGAGAGTGAGTAACTAATTTTCATTTTTGGGTGAACTATTCCTTCAAGTCGTTTCTCTTCCAAGTATCTGTAGCCGTCTGCCATGTGCTAGACATGTTAATAGTACCATGATAAATAAAATTAGTTTCCCTTCCCCATTGTGTTCCAGGTAAGATTATAAAGATAAATCAATACATTTCATTACACTGTGTATCTACTGTATATCAGCTATTTAACCACATAAAGAAGCACATAGAACACAGAACATAAAATACATAGAATGACAGGGAAAAGTTATAAAACACTTCGACTTGCCAACAGGGGGAACTAGAATCCAGAAAATCTTACAGTAGTAGAGTACTTCTGTTGTCTTTATTCAAGTTTACCATACGATATTCAGAGCAACACACATCAAAACAAACATGGCAGTAAATGAAGTGTGGCCAGCACAGCGGCAGCCTGAGAAAGTGGAAGATACATGAGTCCAGTGCAAAGTTCAGAATACACACAAATATACACACGTACAACATGATACAAAACATTATGAAAACAAATGGTAGAAGATTGAGACAGACAGTAGAAATGCAACATCAACAAACACAAAAATAAATATGTCAGGGTTATATCATACAGGTCACAACAGTCCCCGCTGTAACATACTACACACAGGTTTGTCCTTAATTTTTAATGCTGTATTGCCTTTTGGTAAGTTTAATTGGAACCTTTGAGAGTATATTTTGCGAGTGCTACATCAGTAACCCTGTTTAAAAAAAACAAAAAACAGCAATGACTAAATATAACACAAACTGATCAACAGTCAAAAAAAACCCGCAGAATATAAACCATCTGAAAATAAATTTCGAACATGTGAAGGGCACATTTAGTCCCACAAATGTGTAACAAAGCTGAAATTAGTGACATAAAACAAGTGGATGCTCTATGTATAAAAATGTAAATGATATATTTATTCGTTTAGAGTACAAAGATAACCCAAAACACAAGCCAAGCAGATATTCCAGCTTTTGTCAGTAAAACACTGCATGTGAGATCAAAACCAGCTACACTATTGCACATCGTCACAATGCAGAGCATTAACATGCGTTTTACAGAGAAAACACACTTATACACACACAAGATGAATGAATTACTGCATGAGGCAGTCATATATTACACCCAGAGAAAGTGTTGCATGGATATGGAGAACAAAGAAAGTAGAAAGTCAAGAAGGTCAGTTGAGCAGTGCACTATATTAGCATAAATCCATGACATGATACACTGACATATATTGGGCATTTATTTGACCACAGTATTAAAAATTACTTTGTAAAACCATGACCGACATTTGAACTTACAGAGCTCAAACTGTTCTGCTGTCACACTCAAAATCAATAACTACCACATTCATTAGTAAGAATCTGCCTGAGGCACTCACAAGGCACACCGCTTTCAAACAGGTACTGTAGTTAAACATCTGGGGGCAGAATTCATGTTCCAGTGCATTTTAATCTGGAGTAGCAGTACTTATAACTCCATTTGAGATAATTGCATTGCTTTACCTCATAAATAACGGAGAGAAAAAGGCTTGCTGTTGTTACTGATCATGAAAACTTGTAATATTAAGTTTATAGACCTCATTAGCAAATATTTTAGTGCTGGAGCTGGTGTGAGAGGTGAAACCAGTCCATCAACCGAAAGCATCTATAAACCAAACGTAACCAATAAAAACTGAGGTAAACATCTCAATTTAGTTCTGTAACATGCAAAGGGTTGATAGTGTAACATTATCCTATCAAACTGTTCAAAGTGCTGTGAGTGTAGTGTAGTGTTACTTAGCAATCTGTTCTTTCAGTCCTGAAATTTAATCCACATTCTGAACGTATAGATCTCCATGGCAGCGTAAACCACTTAAAATTATTTTCTTTTTACCACGAGGGAGGAATTTTCCTATTTCTTTCTTTACAAACCAGATCCCCTCCCACTTCTCAAAAGCAATAAAAAAAATGTGCATCATTGAACCATCACTCATGTAAACATAGAACTTCATAAACACGGTGCAGTTCTCTCTTTATCAAGGGAATAAGTTTGATTGAATCAGTACTTTAGCATCATGGTCCTCTAGTGTAACTCAAGGTATAAACAACATTAAAGTCGTCAATAGCAGAATATTAAGTCACAACGAGGGAAAATGGTACCAAAAAAAAACCTTAAAAACAAGACAATTTTGTCTATAAACACTCAAATATGCACACCTCTGTCTCTTATAATCCTTAATTAATAAAAACAGTCCTACAGTTGTTGGTTTTAAAAAAGCGTCAAAGTACATCTCAAAATAAAACAAAGGAAAATAAACCACATGAAAGCAGCAAAAATGCCATTAGAGTGTCTAGTCTCGACCTGAGCCTGAATAGCATTCTCTATTTTCTGGTTTTTGACAAATTTTCAACTTTGCAGAATATAATAATGTCAAATTTGCTGTGCACTTTGGTTCTGGTTGACTTTTTAACACCAGTTTTCATTTCTACAGCTAACTTACCAGAAATGAAATACATATACAGAGACACGAGAGCAAAAGTCCCCTCCGGAGAAAGTAATCCTGTCTAAAACACAGTTCACCTCAGCCCAATGATGAGACCTCTTAGTACCTCTCTTCATCGGGACGTCCAACAGCAGACCTTCAATGCGCCAGGTCAGTGTGACTGGAACTCAGGTCCCGTGACTTCCTTAGACGATTATTTCGTTCCTGACGGAAATGAAAAGAAAGAGACAATAAATGGACCTCGGGAGATCCTGATGGACGTGAACTACTGTTCAGGGTAAAGTCACCTTAAGATATGTTATACAAACACCTTTTTGTGAACTGAATCAATACAAGAAACATATATACTGCAGCTTTGTTTTGCAGTCTATTTTACAGTTTATACCATTTTAATCCCATTATCAATTAACACGTTAAAAATTGCATTCATTGACATTTTGCCAGGACAGAGTTGGAACAAAGCCAACAATCTATACTATACAGTAGGGAAGCAGCCATATTTGGGTAAAGGGTGTGACCTAAAAGAA